CTTCGATCAAATCGATTGAAAATATCGACGTACATAAAGAGGAGAATTTGAGAAGAATTTCCATCAAATTTTCAACCTTTTTAGCTTTCATTCATTTCACGTAAAAGGAACAATTCCAATCTACACTTCCATCAATTTAATCGAAATTACTTAAATACTTAAAGACGAGAATTTTAGTGGAATTCAGAACAGAATTCTAGCAGTCCTGTCCCTTTTAACTTTTACTCGTTTCACGAAAAAGAAACACTTCCAGTCTACACTTCCATTAATCCAATCGGCACTACCTAAACACACAAAGGCGAAAATTCGTGCAGAACTCTAGCAAATTTCCAACCGTTCTACCCCTTTTACCTGTTATTCCTTTCACGAGGAATGGAACAATTCCAAATTACACTTCCATCGATCGGATCGAAACGACCTGCATACATAGAGACGAGAGTTTTAGTAGAATCCTTGCAAATTTCCATCGATTCTCTCTCTTTTAACTTTTATTCCTTTCACGAGGAATGGAACAATTCCAAGCTACACTTCAATCAATTCAATCGAAACCACCTAACCTACATAGTGACGTGAATTTCAGTCGAAATCAGCCGAAGAAATTCGGCGAAATATCCGACGATCATCTGACGGGAAAAAATTCGACTGCACGTCGCGTCGTCGATACGAAGAAACGCGGCGGGAGGAGGGGGGGAAAAAAAATTGGTCGCCGTGAGAGCGGACAAAAACGCGCGGCCGTCGTTATTATTCCCCGGTGTACACGCGTACGTTTCGCGGCAAAAAGAAACCGCGAACGGAACGCGATTGAATCGGAACGAGTCGCGCGTGAAACAGCCACTGGACTGTGTAAAATGTACACGAATTGTATTTTACGTAACCGCCGCGCCGCGTAAAAAAGAGTGATTCGCTAACGCGCGGAGAGGATCTGCGGTAAAATGGCTAGATCGATAATGGAGGATCCTCTCGCCACCGCGTTACGGGTGCAAACGAAAGAAGAAGAAAAAAAGGGAAAAAGGTGGAGGGGGGAGATGTTAGCTCTCTGCCCCCCTTAGAGCCTCCGCTCTAATCAAAGCGATATACTACGCGATAATTAATCACTTTTCGTTCACAGACTTGCACAGTTGTTGCTGCTCTGTCCTGGTGTGCCCGATCGATTATGCAACGGGACGGATCGTTACACCCATTGGCTCGTTAGCGTGATCGTTATTCTTGCATTAAAGTCTTAATCGTTAGCATGTAAATCTGCTGGCCTTGCGAGTGTACCGAGGATTTTTCGAATGCAAGGATAACAGGGATAAATGTTTCGCTTTTTATTGCCGGGGCGTGGAGAGTGTCTCGAGTGGGTCAATTTTTGTAGGGTTCGAAGCGTTAATTAGCGGGGACGTTTTGTGCGGACTTGTCGCTGAAGAGCGACGTTTGCTGGGTTTTGGAATTTAGGAGATTTTTTTAGTAATGACATTGTAATAATAAATACTGGGGCACGAGTATAAATCGTCGCTATATTCTAGAGTCTTTCTTAGTCTCTGAAAGTTCTAACTTTCATCGAGATGCGATCGAAAAATCTTTCGTCGAAGTGAACCTTGGAAAATTAACCCTTTAACCTACAACAACGTGTCAGACTCGTGACAGAGATTTCGGTGAAGATGTGACAAAAATAGTTACATTAGTAAGAAAAATTCATTGCACACGTTCGTTTTAACATGTAAGATTAAGAATTCCTAAATGCAATTAATCTGTCACAGATTAGCTTTTGTTACCTGATGCAGTACTAAAAGATTAAATGGCTGACGCTTACATGCGTAATCAGAAAAGTAATCATAGGTTAAGGGGTGAAACGGGTGAAAAGAAGAAAAAGGTTGCACTGGACCTTGTTAAATATAGCCGTTTATTTATTAAGATTATTTTAAAATTGGCCTCATGTGGAATTAATTTATCTGGAAATCAGTTTCTCCGTTTTCCCGAAAATAAGGTCCAGTAGAATCTCTTTCTTCTTCTTCTCGCTCGTTCAATTAATTCAATTACATACAGATCGCTTAGAAAGGTTGAAAAATCGGTGTCTCGATTCTAAAAAAATAGAAATCCACACTTCTGTTTGTAACAGTTACGCGAACAGTTTGAAAACACAAGTTCGATAGGTCGGTCCGATTTTTCCGAATAGCGGCATCACACGGCCATGTATATCATGCAACGAGTAGGGAGCGTCACTCGGTTAATTAGCAATTACACGCATATCTGCGTGTTTGGGATTCCAAATTAGAGCAGCGTTCCCTGTGTGTCCGATGCATCATGATAAATCCACGTCACGCGTGCACGCGCGGCCGTGTTCGACGTGCCTGCGTCGATAATCAGTTATTTAAATTCCCCGGATACTCGCCACCAAGTATCGACGAGTTTGCTATAGCCGGTCTTCGAGGAACTTCCGTTCCCCTTGGTATCAAAGGATTACTTGCTGATAAAGTCATTAACCCCCTCGGAGTACCGACTGTTTCGCGATCTCGCGATAGCCCCTCAGTGGGTCAATTGTAAATCAACGTTGGGCGTGTATTTTATAAAGATCTAGAACTCTGGCGTTTCACAATCCCGGAGCCTTAGAATCCCAGAGCTCTGGAGTTCCAGAGTTCTAAAGTTACAAAGTTCTAGAGTTTTAAAATTCCGTAATCCCAAAGCTCCAGAGTTCTAAAGCTCTAAAATTCCATAATCCCGAAGCTCATTCCAGAGTTCTAAAGCTCTAAAATTCCATAATCCCAAAGCTCCAGAGTTCTAAAGTTCTATAATCCCAAAGCACCAGAGTTCTAAAGTTCTGAAGCTCTAAAATTCCATAATCCCAAAGCTCCAGAGTTCTAAAGTTCTATAATCCCAAAGCACCAGAGTTCTAAAGTTCTGAAGCTCTAAAATTCCATAATCCCAAAGCTCCAGAGTTTTAAAATTCCAGAGTTCTAAAGTTCTGAAGCTCTAAAATTCCACAATCCCAAATCTCCAGAGTTTGAAAATTTCAGAGCTCCAGTGTTCCAGAACCTAAAAGCTCTAGAGTTCTAAAATTCCAGAATTCTCAAGCTCTAAAGTTCTAAAATTCGAGAGCTCTGAAGTTCCAGAGTTCTAAACTTTTAAAGCTCTAAACTTCCATAATCCCAAAGCTCTGGAGTTCTAGAATTCCGGAGCTCTAGCGTTCCACAATCCCAAAGCTCTAGAGTTCTAAAATTCTAGAGCTCCAGAATTCTGAAGTTCCACAATTCCAAAGCTCTTCCTTCTAAGTTAATTCTAAAATTCATAATTAATTCCAAAATTTCTAATATTAAATTTCTAATATTATTTCAAATATCATTTATTATTTCACTCCTCGCATTGAAAAATACAAATAATCTCCTGCAGAATTCCTCAAACTTTTTACTACACCAGACTTCTCAGTTGTCATCGTTGAAACACTCGTTCTTCTCTCGATTTTCCTACCTGCATCCTCTCCTCTCTGTCCCAGTCACAATTTCTTTACACACGATGACACACTTTTTCCCAAGGCAGTCATCGTGAACCGAGGAATCGGTCGAAGCTCTTGGAAAAGTGGGTCTAAACAGATCCGAAGGACGAGAGAAGCGTTCGGGGATTAAACGCAATTCTACGATGTTTCCAGTGGCGGATGAAGATCCGCTTCGCGAGCAAAAGCTCAAGTTTGACTGTCGAATAAAATTTTCATGGCCTCTTTAAACCGCAGCTTGCCAAGACGCGCGCGCGGCCCTTCTTCCAATTTCGCGGCCGGAAAATCCAATTCAATTAACCCCAACGGATTCTTGCAGTTCTCCGGCGGAACGTGGAATATTTATTTTTACGAGCAGAACAGCAGATTGGCCGCGTTGAAACGGAAAAGATTTTCAACGATTTTTGCTAAAGGTGAAAAGGGACAAAGAGAGAGAGAGAGAGTTTTGATCGTTGAAACTGGCCCGACAGATTCGCGAGGAAATTGTCGGAAATGGATGATCATTCGATGGAGAAATCAGATGATCGAACGTTACGCAAGAGATAATGACACGCGTCTTGTTGCTTGTAATCATTGTTCTCGTTAGAGATATGAATTGGATGTTTCTATTGCTACCGGTAGATTGTTTGATTGAGGATAATGGTGCCCATTGTCCTGGACATTAGTAAGAATTCCTCTGCAGCGGTAAGACAGGTAATGCGATAATGTTTTACGAGACATTTTCATAGAGACGAAATACCGCGCTCGGATAATTTCTCTATTTTATCGTCAACTCACTTTTCCGCTTCCTTTGTAGTAATGTACACGGTGTCTCGCGAAACTGGACTATGTCGTACTTTGAAAATAGAGATAGAAGTTGCGGAAGGTGTTTTAATATCGAGACTCGAGCGTAGAAATATTTAGAACATGTTGTATAATATTTGGAACATTTTGCGTGACTGAAACATTGTTTAAAAACGTGGACAGAACAGCAGAGATGGAAAAATGGATCGTTTAGTTCCAATACGTTTGAACGTAGAGTAATCCGAGACATCGATTTATGCAAATGAAATTATAGTTCCATTTAGAAAAAGAATAAAGAGTGCAGCTGCACTTTGCAGCCCCGTCAGTGCACAAAAATAAAGAAATATATCGCAGAAATATAAAATACGCAACGTTTTTAATTTCGTCTGTTTAACCGTTTCAACCCTTTCGCTGTGACAAATTTGACTGCGCAACGCGGAGGACTGGCGGTAAATTTTTAATCACAGCTGCAAAATTTCTTTTCTTTATCGAACTAAGTTGGAGGCGAGCGAGCAAATTTTCAAAACGCCTACAAGCGCGACTAGTTGACGAAAGGGTTAAAGGTTCGGCTAATTAACCGAGTACACCCGGTATAAGAATAAAGTTTCTCCGATACGATTCTATTCCTGACACAAATTTCCGCTTAATTAAATGATCCAGCTATTCATCATCCACTTGACGGTTTGCACGAGTGGAAGGAGAAGAGAAGAGCGGAGGATCGATATAAATGGTAGAATATTTATCTACATACCCGGTGGGCGCAACGTACGAAGACACGATCCAAAGGGGACTTGGAATCCTGCGCCTTGGATGTTTTCTCCTTGCACCACGCTTGTCCCATTTTTCTTCCTGTCCGGCTATTATCTCGACCGCTCCTCCCGCCACGTGGATCTGCCCTCCTCCTCCTTCGGTGTTACTTGGTCGAACCGCGACCGCTGCTTCTCTCTCTGTCTCTGTCTCTCTCTCTCACCGATAAGGCCGGATAATGTAGGCCATCTTAAGACCCGTTCCTCGTGACCTGCCGCAACCGGGGCGCGCCTCTCTCGCCTCCCGTCGATTCTCGCGCGTAAACGAGCGAGCGATCGTTTCAGCGGAGGCGTCCCACGTCTCGCTGAAAAATTTTGAAAATCTGTCATCTCCGTCGCGATGTGTCACGGACGATTTTTGAGATCTGAATTGTTTAGAGCTGTGGGGTTTTTTGGTTTTGTTGTGGAATTTGTTGGAGAATTCTTTTGGGCTTTAGATTTTTAGAGTTGTAGATTTCGTAGATGTGGATTTGCGTGTTTTTAAATTTCTGGAGTTTTAGAATTCGAGAGCTCTAGATTTCTAGAATTTCGGAGCTCTAGAGCTTTAAAGTTCTAGAGCCCAAGAATTCCATAATCACAAAGCTCTAGAGTTTTAGAATTCCGGAGTTCTAAAGCTCCAGAGTTCGGAAATCCCAAAGCTCTAGAGCTCTGGATCTCCATATTCTTAAATTTCTGGAGTTTCGGAATTCGAGAGCTCTAGATTTCTAGAGTTTCGGAGTTCCGCAGCACTGGATTTCCAGAGTTTCAGAGCTCTCGATTTCCATATTCTTAAATTTCTGGGATTTCAGAATTCGAGAGCTCTAGATTTCCAAAGTTTCGGAGTTTCAGAGTTATGAATTTCCAGAGTTTTAGAGTTTTGGATTTCCATATTCTTAAATTTCTATAGTTTCAGAGCTCCGGAGCTCTAGATTTCCAGAGTTTCACAACTCTAGAGCTTTAAAGTTTTAGAGCCCCGGAGTTCCACAATCCCAAAGCTCTAGAGCTTTAGAATCCCGGAGTTCTAAAGCTCCAGAGTTCGGCAATCCCAAAGCTCTAGAGCTCTGGATCTCCATATTCTTAAATTTCTGGAGTTTCGGAATTCGAGAGCTCTAGATTTCTAGAATTTCGGAGCTCTAGAGCTTTAAAGTTCTAGAGCCCAAGAATTCCATAATCACAAAGCTCTAGAGTTTTAGAATTCCGGAGTTCTAAAGCTCCAGAGTTCGGCAATCCCAAAGCTCTAGAGCTCTGGATCTCCATATTCTTAAATTTCTGGAGTTTCGGAATTCGAGAGCTCTAGATTTCTAGAATTTCGGAGCTCTAGAGCTTTAAAGTTCTAGAGCCCAAGAATTCCATAATCACAAAGCTCTAGAGTTTTAGAATTCCGGAGTTCTAAAGCTCCAGAGTTCGGCAATCCCAAAGCTCTAGAGCTCTGGATCTCCATATTCTTAAATTTCTGGAGTTTCGGAATTCGAGAGCTCTAGATTTCTAGAGTTTCGGAGTTCCGCAGCACTGGATTTCCAGAGTTTCAGAGCTCTCGATTTCCATATTCTTAAATTTCTGGGATTTCAGAATTCGAGAGCTCTAGATTTCCAAAGTTTCGGAGTTTCAGAGTTATGAATTTCCAGAGTTTTAGAGTTTTGGATTTCCATATTCTTAAATTTCTATAGTTTCAGAGCTCTAGAGCTCTAGATTTCCAGAGTTTCACAACTCTAGAGCTTTAAAGTTTTAGAGCCCCGGAGTTCCACAATCCCAAAGCTCTAGAGCTTTAGAATCCCGGAGTTCTAAAGCTCCAGAGTTCGGCAATCCCAAAGCTCTAGAGTTTCAGAATTCCAGAGCTCTGAATTTGCGGAGTTCTAAAGCTCTAGAGCTCCAGAGTTCCACAGTCCCGAAGCTCTAGAGTTCCACAGTCCCAAAGCTCTAAAGTTCCATAATCCGAAATCTCTAGAGCTCTAGTGCTCTAAAATCCCATACCTCCAAATTTCTGTAATTTTATAATTCTAGATCCCTGAAGTTTGAAAATTCGCAACGTTAAATTTGAAAAACTATCAATTTGGAAAAATGGTTCGTAAATGGACCAACTACGTGCTCCATAGTTTGTCCGAAATCGATTCAACTCAAGGTCACTAGCCCGTCCGAGAATCAAGCCACGAGTAATCTCTAAGCTTGGAGGCTTAGCTCGGACAATACTGATCTATGGTATTCGAGCGGTAATGTATGGATCACCGTGATATCGCGCTAGAGACGATTTACTGCTCTGAGTGGTTCGGGGAATGTGGGCGAAGGTACGCTGCTTTTTGTCCTAATGGACTGCTGCTTCCAAGCCGGGCATACTCGTTAGAGCAACTTGACGAGATACTCTTCCTCCTTTGAACAAGAAAAATCTCGAAAAAACCATCCCTAAGACAATTTCAACCTAATAACTGGCCCATGAACCATACACTGTCACCTTCACGCGTAACCTAAAAATCCTAAAAACCATAAAACAGCTGGGAGCGGAAAATAAAATATTTCTACAGCTAAAGAAATCACATCTAAGAAAAATTTAGTAAATTTATTATTAGCAAAAACAGTAAGGCGAATAAATGATCGATTAGGGAAATGAACCATCTCCGAAAATACCGTAAAAAATTTCGTTCTGGTGTTGAAAATTTCGAAAATGAAAAACACTGGGATTCTAAAATTTTACAATAATTAGCAAAAAACTGATATTCAACGAACGACTCGAAGTTCGAAAATTACGTTAATTAAACAAAATAGCTAAAAAATAGAACTAATATCTTCACTCGAACTTCCCTATGCAAGACACTTTCAAACGCGCCAACGAATAGCATTCCAAGGACCAGCACGTCAATCACACAACAAGCATAATTTCAATATAATACCAATGAAACACACCTAACTAGATACCCGTATCAGACAACTGACCTTCTGCCCACAATGATCATCCGAAGAATGTCTCGGAACACACCCTTTAACGGTGCATTACCAAGCGCATCGTCACCGCATAGACTCCGCGCAATCTCGTTTCGCCGATTGAAGAACACCGAAAGGAATTGACAATCGAGCGGGATAATTGGCGGGTAGACGTGGGCTGGATGAAAAATGGAAGAAGAACGGGGAACAATGGCGTTGAAAATCGGTTTACGCCGATCGAACGGTTGTAAATCATCCGAGTCTGTTGGAAAGTCTCACGCTCCACTCCGAATTACACCGTGAACGCTCCGCGAAATCGCGTTTCGCCGTGGCCGACGAACACGCGAATTCATAATGCGGCTACGCGATCTAGAGTCATTCCCCCCTGCTTCGCGATGGAGAACGACGATCGAGTCGCGCTCGTTCGAGCTCTTCCTCTCCGCGTTGCTGCTGAGCACTTTTCGAGGCATTGTGAAGATCGTGGAGTGTCGTTTCTTTTATGAGTTTGTTAATTTTTTCGCTACCGACACATTATGTATACTGTCACATGCGTAACAGATGTCGCTTGGGTACGTATAGCGTTTAGAAAGCATTCTTCCACCTTTCATACGAGAAACGCAAGCCGAAACACCCTAATTCGATAGCTATCTAGAGGCAGAGGCGTTCCGATCCAAGTTAATCTCTGTTACCGATAAAACCACTCCCGCCTGTCCAGAAATTCGAAGATGCTGATTCGATGGAAATTAGCAACTTTTGCACACTCGACCCGAAAAAATGACAATGATTGATATTTCATTCTCGTGGAAAATTATCGCATTTATCGTTCGCTAAATAACTTTAACAGAAATATGGATCTTTGTCGTCTTTCAGAGTTTCTATTTTACGGATCATTTTGTTATCAAAAAGTTAGGGTCGATCTTTGGAATAATTTCGTTGGAAATATATTCATAACACAGTCGTTAGGTAAAAATTTCGAGGCGCTCGGTCAGTTCTCGCGTCCTCACCATGAATGGACAGTCGAGTGGTCCCGCAATGGGAACACACACGTGCGTGGAACAAGCACCCACGCCGTCATGTGGTCACGTGAATCGGTGAACAAACGCGTGATTGTGTGCGCGGCATAAATCGCGTTATTGTACACGCAGCCTAAACGAACCGAACCTAAACAGTCGCTACCAAAGCATAAAGATCATCGGAAGACTTTTTCACTGCGAAATATAATAGAAATTAAGTTCGACGAACGTCGCTTTTCGGGTCAAATTTAATTATCCCAAATTACAAATCCAGAATTTGCACGTTTTCCTTTTTTTTCTTATCGCGTTATACCGAAGCAGTAGAAATTTTTCAATCGCGTTAGTTGAATAATTAACAACTTTCAACCCGATTTCCCAAAAAATTGGCTATTCTTAATTATGCCACTCTTTGCACAGGAATTCAGAATTTGCAAATTTTCTTTTTTCGTCGCGTTATACAGAGACAGTCGCAATTTTCAATCACGTCAGTTGAATAATTAACAACATTCTACCCCAAAAAAATTTCTCCCCAATTTCTCAAAAAATTGACTATTCTTAATTATGCCACTCTTTGCACAGGAATTCAGAATTTGCAAATTCCCTTTTTTCATCGCGTTATACAGAGACAGTCGCAATTTTCAATCACGTTAGTTGAATAATTAACAACTTTCTACCCCAAAAAGAAAATTTCAACCCGATTTCCCAAAAAATTCACTATTATTAATTATGCCACTCTTTGCACAGGAATTCAGAATTCGCAAATTTTCTTTTTTCATCGCGTTATACAGAGACAATCGCAATTTTCAATCGCGTTAATTGAATAATTAACAACTTTCAACCCGATTTCCCCAAAAATTGACTATTCTTAATTATGCCACTCTTTGCACAGGAATTCAGAATTCGCAAATTTTCTTTTTTCATCGCGTTATACAGAGACAGTCGCAATTTTCAATCGTGTCAGTTGAATAATTAACAACTTTCAACCTGATTTCCCCAAAAATTGGCTATTCTTAATTATGCCACTCTTTGCACAGGAATTCAGAATTCGCAAATTCCCTTTTTTCATCGCATTATACAGAGACAGTCGCAATTTTCAATCGCGTCAGTTCAATAATGAACAACATTCTACCCGAAAAAATATTTCTCCCCAATTTCTCAAAAAATTGACTATTCTTAATTATGCCACTCTTCGCACACAAATTCAAAATTTCCACGTACTTTTTTTTCATAGCGTTACACAGAGAGAGTCGCAATTTTCAATCAAGTCAGTTGAATAATTAACAACGTTCTACCCAAAAAAAATTTCG